CCTGCCTTAGAGTCACAATAAGCCAGAAACAACTTGAAGGCACACAACGGCAACAACCCATGTCTCCTTTCAGAGAACAGGATTTTAATGGATTTCTTCTGCTTGGAAAAGTAGAGTAACTGGCAGAGGAGCAACTTAATCCTATTTTGAGCCAAATCCAAATACATAATATACAAGGTACCTTGTTTTAACGTGTAGAACCTAAACCAAACTGCAGTAGAAAGGGCTTAAACTAAACATTATTTTTCCATGTTTTGTTGTTAAGCGCCTTCAGGACAACACTGACTTATGGCAACCCTATCCTAGGGTTTTCTTTGCATGATTTGTTCAGGGGAATGTTGCCGTTCTCTTTCTCTTAGGCTGTGAGTGTGTGACTTCCCAAAATCACCCAGTGGATTTCCATGGCTGAGCAGGGATTTGAACCCTAATCTGCCAGAGTCCTAGTCTATCACTCAAACCACTACACTACACCACATCCAACAATTTCCCATTTGTCTCCCATGCAGGACCAAAGTAGCTTATAACATAGATTGAAACAGATGATAACTAAAACCATTAACAATAAAGGGCTAGTTTAAAAAGTATTCAACTACCGTATTAAAAATTGCTGTTTAAAAGCATTTAAAATATAGCCAATCAGGGGGAAAATACATCAGTCCTCATTAAAGGATCCTTCCACAGCAAGCAGTTAATGGTGAAAAGTGTCTAAATAAAAAATATCTTTGCCTTCTGACATGAGAGCAAAGTTAGTCCTTCCTAGTTTGTTAGGAAGAGGTTCCTGATGGTATAGGAAGGTCTCAATGTGTGTTTGGATTGTGCTTCCAGATTGGAGACTGACCTAAATAGAAGCCAGTTTTATAGAGAATCATTGGCGACCATAAGGATGCATTCCAATGGAGTTGATATAGCCACAAAGTTAGCATTTTTGCTCAACCCACCACTAGTTCTAAAGAAGTTTGAAGCATAAAACATCAAACTTTATCTTTTCCAGACTAGAGAAATGGGCAGATGCTTTCCAGAGGGACAAGAAGAGGTAGTAACTACAGTTCCCAGCGGATGGGGGTTGGCAGGGGTAAGCTGGTTTGCCATTAGTCAATAATTACCCTTCACAGGAGCACACAGGGAAGTACTGGTAAGAACTGTGTATTGCTATGCCTTCTACAGCCAATTTCCAAGGTGGAGAAAGCACATCAGGAAAGAAAGAAGCAGGACCTTTCCTGCTATGACCTCTCCAGCAGACCTGCCAAATGAAGACTTCAGTTTTTCTACACCCGCCAGGCAAGCAGAGGAAAGCATTTCCAAACATAGCAAAAACATACCAGGATCCACATTTCCCTCTCCCCCTCAAAGCCGGAAAGGAAAGCCCTATCCTTCAAGCAATGCCAAGACCAGGTGCTTTCTCCCCTTCTCCACTCCCCCAACTTAGGCAAGTGAAAGAAAACCAGTCCAGACACTTATCACTCAAAACTGAATCTCCAAATAGCCTCATTCCTGCCTTGCTTTCCCACCTTGGTCAACTCCTCAGGCACACTGGGAGACCTATGCATGATGGATGAAGCTTACTTATTTATAGACAAATGTTGTAAATTTGAAATGTTGCAAGTTGAGGCAACACAAATTGAGATTTGTCTCTGCAAGCTCACTGCCTCAGGAGGTGATAGATTTTTCTTCCACTGAGGAAAATTAGAGATTAGGCAGCCACCTATCAGAGTTGCTTTAATTGTGCATTTCCTTAACGGACAGGGGTTAGATTAGATTATTCCAATTCTGTGTTGTAAACTAGTCTCTTTAGTAGTAATCTAATCTAACTCCTGTCTGTTAAGGAAATGCACAATTAAAGCAACCCAAATAGATTGCTGTCTAGTTTCTTTCTTTCTTTCTACAACTTCATTTGGAGGAAAATCCACCAGTGATGTAGACTTGAGTTGATCAACTTGGATTCAAGTCATTTCAGTGACTTGACTTGGATTCATCTTGGCAATAAATGATGTGCTGACTTGATTCAGTTCAAGACTTGAATATTTTAAGCAACCAGGGGAGGGGGAACAGACCGGCACGAAGGAGCAGCTTGAAACAGCCCCTGCTCAAGATGCCTCAGGACTGTGGCAATCATACGCCACGGTCCCGAGGACTCCCTCTGCCACAGCCCCAAATAGGAGCAAAAAATATCCACTCCTTTGGGGACTGGATTTGGATCAACTTAAGCGGCCTTGGCATGGCCCTGGCATAGGTTCAGGGTGCTCCGGGGGCATGCATAAACAACATGCCCCTGGAGGGGCCAAAAGCTGCCCCCATCTGCTTGTCTGTTTCAAGCCCAACTTGCTGGTCTAACTTCATTCAGAAATAGAGTTGAGAGGCAATAGGCTTGCGGTGGGGGTTCAAGTCTACTCAGCATCCTGTCCCTGAATTCTATGATTCTGTTATTCTACAAAGGAGGAAAATTCGCATAAATTAGATTTTCCCCTTCTGTCTCTAGCAAGCAGAGTTCTGATGCAATTGTAAAATGTACTTGTTATAACTCTGTGGCATCTGTTCTCTGTGCACTAAAATATAGATGCTAACAATGACATGGCAGAAGTAGTATGCTATCTCCAAGACAAGCAAAGGCTTAACAGTATCTGCAACCCACCTCCCAGCCACAGGTACATCGGTAGAATGCTATAATAAATTCTGAATAGCTAGTAATATATTCCTGTCACTATTGGGGTATGTTATGTTTAAACGAATGCTATGTGCTTGACAGAAATAACATATTGATTAAAGTGATGTGAAATAGATCCTTTAAAAGACAAAGATCATTTGACATGGCATTACACTAGCATTATAAAAAGAGGAGATGTAGAACTGGTTAATGATCTGATTTTTTTTTAACCATTAAATATGTTATAATAGCATCTACCTTTTGTCCTGTGTGTTTGCCCTGGGCAAATCTATTTTAACCCACAATCTAAAAGCACTTGGTTACCGTATTTTATCAAAACAGCAGTGAACTCATTAATGGTGTTTAATAACAAGCATTATTTGGCAAGCAGCCTTTTAAACAATCTTCTGCTGTTGAGGCGTTGCAGACATTCCACCATGATGCAGCATAGTAACTATGCCCTATGACAGCTGCACACACCCTCAAGGCAGGGAAAACTGACTGGGTGGTCTGCGGTGTAGTGCTACATTTAATGGACAAAAAAACAAGTAAACCAGGTAGACTAAGAAAGAACCAAAATATTGCAATTATTGCTGAATGCCAAACAGAACAAGACTCAGTAATATGAAGGAATGAAATTACAATACAAATGACAATGTGGCCTTGCAAATTAGAGGCATTATTGGGTTAAAAGCAAACCCAAATACATCACACAAAACTGGCATGTCTATGAATGCAACTGAAGAAAATGCTACTATTAGGAATTTTAAAAAGCTAGGCCTCTTCTGACTCTAAATATCAGCTGAATATTTAAAAGATGCAATCTAAATGGAATAAATGAAACATAAGTTAGGATTTAATGTTATGAACTTTTGTTCTCTGTCTCTTGAGTTCTTGTTTCAGGTTGTATCCAATTAAGTCATGCTGGAGCAAGCTCCTTTCATTTGCAGGAATATAATTTTAATTCTTGTGGCAGTGTCAAATGTGTAACTTTGATTCCATTTGTGCAAACCATTGCACAAATGACTTCAACTAGGTGTTGCTTGTATTCATTGTTCCTCCCTAAGGGTTGTAGGAAACTGCTAGAGGAATGCTGCTGGCTTGTGTACTTTTTCCACTAGACCAGCATTTCTCAAATAGTGGGGCGCGCCCCGGCTCCGTAAAGGGGGGTGCGAACACTGGAGATTGTCCCAGCGCAGCCCGACGTGCTCTATCCTGATTGGCCAAACGCGAAATGTTTTCTTCTTCCTAGGGGAGGCATGACAGAAAATAATGGAGAAGCACTGCACTAGACTAATGTTGGATACAATCACTGACAAGCTAGTTAAGCTTCTTAACCTAATAACTTTTTGGATGGGGAAGAAAACCTCTCCTAAATGAAGTACTTGCACCCTTTAATTAATTCCCGAGTCTTTCAAGTCTTCAGGAAAGATTACAGTTGTTGCACAGAACACTGGTTTGCTTTACATCAATTCACACATGTCTAAGATTTCCGCTTAACCTATTACCAAAATGTTTCACTGGGTGAACACAAGATCTAGTATTATAAGAATTCTCTATGCAGTTCTCCCTCCACTAAAAAAAACCAATACACTTCTTCTCTGTCCATAAAAATTAGAAATACCTTATCTTTTACCTTTTTCTCACAGAGAAAGTGGTCCATGCAGTCATCACTTCAAAATGATTTGAAGAGGTAGTGGTAGATACTTACAGAACTGTAGCTGATTTTTCTGCTTAACTGGAAACCTGATGGCTGGAGACTTATTTCACAATGTATAATGTCCCATAATATTACCTATACTTTCCTCACAGTCAATTCAAAGTTGTTTTCTGGGGCAGGGGAATCTATTTTTTCATTAAAAAAATCCTTCCCCCCTCTTAAGTGCAAAACACAGTGCAGAAATAATCCAGTCTGAGGCCACTTTAACTGTCTTGGCTCAGTGCTAGGGAATTGTGGGAATTGTAGTTTTGTGAGACATTTAGCCTTCTCTGTCAGACAGCTCTGGTGCCACAATAAACTACAATTCCCAGGATTCCCTAGTACTAAGCCAAGGCAGTTAAAATGGTCTCAACTGGATTATTCCAGCAGTGTGTTTTGGACCTTAACTGAAATAAGCTCATCTTTTCAATAATACTCTGGCAGCAATACTCTTTTAACATGATGTATTTTGTCTCAAAGACTTTGTAATGTTTTAGAAGCTGAGTGTCTAGCAAGAAAGTTGGACAAAGCAGATGTATCTTGTCTCAAAACATATCCACCCTAATAGGGCACTCATATATAACATGCTTTTAGTGACCAAAAATATCACACAACTTTCATCATTGGTAACTATGGGGGATTGCAGACTGCCAAAAATAGTGCAAATTGAGTCCACTTTTAGGGTTAGGGTTAGTGCTAGGGAATCATGGGCATTTTTTTTTTCCTGAGACATTGAGCCTTCTCTATCAGAGAGCTCTGGTGCCACAATAAAATACAGTTCCCATGATATCCTAACCTTAAAAGTGGACTTAATTTGCACTATTTCTAGCAGTCTGCAACCCCCCTAAATATCCTCAATTTGCACAAATTTATTTAGATGAAAAGCTCAAAAGTGTCTGGTAAGACTGGCCCTCTTAAGAAGAGTACACTTGTCCCTCCCCGTTTGCAGACTAGGAGTCCACAGTCTTGGTCCTTCACGGGCTAGCAAACGGGGAAGGATAAAATGGCGTGCACAGCCATTGAAAACAATGGCCCCCCCAATATTTGTGATTTTTCTGATTCGCGGGGTGGGTGGGTCCGGAACGGATCCCCTGCAAATTGGAAGGAATGACTGTATAAATACAGCCAACTCTGG